CTGGCCAGTTTCGCTCGGATCATTTTACCATTTTTGCATCTGGAGGAGAGGGCCCTTCTGCTGCGAGATTTGGTTGTGAGTTGTGGCTGCACAACACCATTCCGCTTCTGCATACGCCAGCAGGGCTTGGTATCACACTTGCAGATTGTAAATGTGTCGCGCTGCACGCTGATCCACGTAGACTCTTTGTTAGGATTGAGCATGAAGTTTGTCAACTCACAGCTATTGTTTTGCATGCCCCGTGCCTAGGCAAATCTGCTGGAGATGCAAATGCACCCATTGACGTTGTGAAACAATGGTGGTCTGAAACTTCCCGGATTTGGCATGAGGTAGTCACTACTGGTATGATTTGTGCCTTTGTAGATGCCAATGCCACCCTCGCCACTTCGGCCACGGAGTTTTTTCAGGAACATCATGCCGATGTCACCACGGCCCAAAGTCACATCTTTGAAGAGTTTCTTGTGGATCATGCTTTGTATGCGCCCTCCACATTTGCTGCCCATCATGTTGGACCATCCTTTACATGGACGCATTCTTCTGGCCGCCGTATGCGGTTAGATTTTGTGCTGCTCAGCCACTCACTTTTCCAAATGGTGACGCGTTCTGAGACAATGTTGTCCTATGATGGCACCTTCTCCCATGAAGATCACATTCCTGCATGTCTTGAGCTGAATGGATGGATCCAGGGACACACTCCCATTGATCGGCCTATTTGGGATGATTTGGCGTTGATGGATCCCGACAGGTGTAGAGCTTTTCAGTCTGCATTAGCTACTTTGCCTGTTCCTGCTTGGGAAATTGCTGTTGACAGTCACAGTGCGTTGTATGAAAAGCAGTTTGTTCAACTGGCCCGGCAGTTTTTCACCAAGACATCCCGAACTAAGCGCCGTCCCACCCTCAGTGCTGAAGCTCTTGCGGCCATTGCGTTTAAGAGGCATATCTTGGATTGTGGCCGGGCCTGGCACCTCATGACCGACCCCACCTTCAAAGAAGAACTCAAGGCCATTGAAATTCATGTGCGACGTCTGGTTACCCGTGATCTTCAGATTTTCTATGACCAGATACTTGTCCAGCTTCAAGAGGCTGGCCATTTGTCCAATCATAAGCAGATGTTCAAAATGATCACTCGACTTGGCGGCAAGAGACATAAACGTGCTACGCCTGCCCGCCCATTGCCAATGCTACGAGATCCGACCGGCCAGAAAGTCCGGACGTATGCTCAGCAGCAACAACTCTGGATGAACCAATTTTCTCGCATTGAAGCCGGTCTCCCAATGCACTGGCATGCCTTGCAGAAAGCTGATTCCACCGGGCTTGGGCTCACAATGGATCTTCCTGAAGCTGCCTCGTTTCCAACTGACTGGCAGCTTCAAGAGGCGGTGTCGCACTTAAAAAGGGGCAAAATGCCAGGACCAAATGGTATTACCCCCTGCCTTTTGAAAGCAGGTGGAAGTGTTTTCACGAAGCAGTTTGTCGCTCTCACTACAAAGACAGTTGCGCATGGGAAAGAGCCCACTTCCTGGAAGGGTGGCAGACTTGCCCCCCTTCATAAGGGGCGTGGAGCTACGTCTGACCCAGCTGCTTATAGAGCGATCTATATCTCTGATTACACGTCCAAACTGTATCACAGGATGCTCCGTCAGCAGTTGGAAGTGGCCTGGATTCAGCACACAGACCTTTTACAACTTGGTGGAAAGAAGGGTTGTGGCACTGACGTTGCCCACCACATGCTTGAGGCGCACCAGTTTTGGTACAAGAAGCGCAAACTCACCTCTGCAGTGGTCTTCTTTGATTTGAGGGCGGCTTTTTATTCTGTCCTCAGACAGGCACTTGTTGCTCATGACATGGACCCGACCTCCTTGATTACGGCCCTAGGGCGTATGGGTGTTCCGTCACAAGTTGTTGACAATTGGTTGCACCAGGCGGCTCAAGACCATGCCCTCATTGACGCTAGCTTGCATGTTGAAAAATTGATCCAAGATTGTATGGTAAACACCTTTTTCACCATTGATGGAGTCCCTGGGGTTTGCAAGACCACTCGTGTGACGCGTCCAGGTGATCCCCTGGGTGATTTGTTGTTCAATCTCATCATGAGGCTAGTGTTACAAGACACCCATCAGTACGTGCAGTCTCACACTGATGCATCATGGCTGGGCTCACCTAAGCAGTGCCAGTCTTTTGCAGATTCCAATGAGATTCCTGATTGTGCGTATTTCGACGTGTCGTTTGTTGATGATGCAGCCATTGCCATTCATGCGCAATCCTTGCCTGAAATGGAGCAATTGATCAAGACGGTGGTTGAAGGCTTTCATCAAGCCTCTGCTGCCCGTGGGCTTGATGTGAATTTTGAACAGGGCAAAACCGAGGTGCTGTGGGATGTGCGGGGAAAAGGATCCAAGAGTCTCAAGGAAAGGTTGCATGATGAAAACCAGATGCTGCGTTGGAACTTTCAGGGTCACTCTTTTGCTCTGCGCCTTTCTCACTCCTATAAGCACTTAGGATCATGGATGCAGGTTGCTGGTAGTCACCAACGTGAAGTTGCACATCGTGCATCCCTGGCCATGCAGAGCTGGGGTTGTCTTGCCAAATCCTTCTATCAGAAAAGACATGTTGGTTTGAAGGCAAAGGCCACGGCTTTCCAGTCCCTAAGTCTGTCAAGGATGTTGTTTCATGCTCACACATGGACAGGTGTCGCTGAGGACACTTTGGCACATTGGCAGCAAAAGCTTCGAAAGCCAATTGGGCTCATGGCCAAACCTTTGCTTCGTGGAGTTGCACCGGTTTTGGTTGATACTTGTGACTTGTTTGCTGTGGCTGGCATCTTGCAGCCCATTGACCAGTTACACGTTGCTAGACTCCGCTACCTCAAGCGCCTGCTCCGATTCTGTCCTCAAGGATTGTGGGACTTGCTATTCCAGGCAAAAGAGGATGAGAACAGTTGGCTAGCTGTATGTCAGAAATCATTTGCCTGGTTTTTGAAATTTTACCAAGCCCCCGGGGCTCCAACCGATGCGACAGATCTTTCTGCATGGCTGTCTTATGTGGCTTTGGATGGCTGTTGGAAAGGTCGACTCAAGAAGGCTGCCAAAGGATGTTTGTGCTTCCATCAGGCGGTGGCCGAAAACAACATTTGGTACAAGACTTTCAAATCGGTTTTTGAAACTGCGGGAGGAGTTGTCCCAGTGTCTCAGACCATTTGCAAGGATCATTGGGTGTGTGATCAATGTCAGAAGGTTTTTGCATCCAGGCGAGCATTGGCTACTCATGCGGGTCGTGCGCATGGTTACAGAAGATTGGTCAAGTTTTTCGCTGTTGATAATGTATGCAATGCCTGTGTCAAGATGTATCACTCACGAAAGAGGCTCATCGAACACTTGCGTGATGCCACTCTTTGCCTGCAGACTCTGCAACATTGCTTCCCGCCGTTGGCTGATGCGGTGGTTCTCGCTTATGATGCAGAAGATCATGAAGTGACCCTTTCGCTTCGTGCGCAGGGTTGGAATGCCAGCAAGGCTCTGGCCCCTATGCGTAAGCTCCATGGCCCATGTTTACCACCTCCAGGTTCTCAAGCTGCCGCGGACATGCATGCCAAGTGGTCGATCCGCAACCCGGTTGCTGGCTCAGCCTTTAGTCACTTTCAAGGCCATGCTATGGCCGCAGCTGAAGCAGATGCTCCAAAGGTTATTTTCTTTGCAGAAGATTTACCAGCGTTTGTTTTTCAATCTGAAAGTGGGATGAATCATGGAGACGGGCGTTTTTCTCTTGGAGGGCTGGCGCGGGAGACAGCTTTGCTCCATGTGAGGGCGCAGGTTTTCGTGCATTTCTACTCCGGATTTCGCCGCCCCGGGGACTTGCATGATTTACTTGAGCATCATGTTTTCGACCAAGGTCATCAGCTTTTCGTCTTGTCGGTCGATATGTGTCTTCAGCGTGAGCGAGGTGATTTAGCATCCTCTACCTCTTTGAATTGGTGGCTGAGCCGCATCCGTTCGGGTCAGGTTTGTGGGGCCGGTGGGGGCCCTCCCTGTGAATCGTATTCAGCTGCGCGACTCCTGGAGGGGGGGCCCCCACCGGTGAGATCAGCTGATTGGCCCGAAGGCATCCCTAATATTCCTCTTCGTGCTTGGCGCCAGGTCATGACGGGGTCCAGGTTGATGCGTTTTATTCTGGAGGTTTTCTTGGCTTTGGTGTTGACGGGTGGATGTGCCTTTATCGAACACCCTCAGTACCCGGTCTGGGCACAGGGCATGGCACCGGCCAGTATTTGGTCCAGTTTGCCCATGCGCCTTTTGAAAACCATAGCGGCTGTCGGAATAACGAGCTTTGACCAATGCATCTTCGGTTGCGCATCGAAGAAACCAACGACCATTGTTCACCTCCGACTTCCGGCTTTGCGGCATACCATCATGCGCACTGGCCTCATGGGACGTTGTTCCCACCATGCTTCTGCCCACGAAGTGTTGTCTGGAAGGGATGCTGAAGGCCTTTTTAAAACGGCCCAAGGGAAGATCTACCCGCATGGCCTCAACCGTGCCATAGCCAATGCGGTGGTAGCCTACGTGCAAAGCACGTTTCTTCCTTCCAATTCTCAGCTTTTCCCTGCTGAGCTTAGTGACATGTTGGTGAATGATTTTGTCACGGATGGCACTGTGCAGCCTGATTTCTACGGATAGGAATCACCATCCCTGTGTCTAGAGTAGCCCACTGTCACGTGTTTTGCATGAGACCAAGCAAGAAATCTTGCAGTATCGCGAAATGAAAAAATATATAGATAGATATATAGATATATATAGATATAGATATATGGGATAAATCAAGGAAACTTCCATGGATCTCCGTGGTGTTGTTCTTTTTTAAGGGATTGCCCAGGATTGCCAATCTTTTTGAAACAGTGGTCAACAAAGATAGAAGTTTTCATTCAAAGATAAGAAAGGTGGTATATTGAAACCAGTCAACAAGTTGTGCTTGGGCACTCAAGCCCCCGATGACCTGCTACACAGGAGGTAACCAATAGTGGCCTCGCCGAGAAACTCGCAGACTGTGAGGCGCAAATCTGTCTCCTGATGGGCGATTTTCATCCATGCCTATCTGAGAATGAACTGGGTTCGTCTAAATCTAAATATAGGGTGTATACTTCCATCATATGATATGTAATAATAATGTATGTACATGTATAATGTCATGTGCACATATATATATAATTATATATATATATGCACATGCATGTATACACCATTTGATGACAACGACTCTGGTAAGCTGGCAACAACTGAGGTGGTGCCGACAATGTCGATTCGCACCACTCATCCATGCCATGATATGCCCGTTCTAAACTTGTGTTCTGAAATGACACTACAGAAAAAAAGAACACATGGAAAAGGGATTTTGCAGAAGTTGGCAAATCCAGTCAGATGACGCTTCGGACTGACTTTTTTTGACCGAAAAAAGACACCATATTTTGATAGATTTTGGGGAAACTCGAGATGAGTACAGCAAACACATCCAGTTTCTGATCCCAGAGATGACACCCGGAGGCTGCTCGTGAAAAGTTGGAGGACGCCCTGGCAGAATTCCTTCTGCTGTCGAATCTCTGCGACAGAAAATCCCATAGACTGGTTTTGAATGTGTTTACAGTCCATGATCAATCTCTATTGTCTATATTAATGATTATTAATGTATATCATTATATGATATCATAATATATATATATTGTAATATGATGCAATATAATATATGATATATATATATATCCCTCTTTTTAAAAATTCTATATTATCAATCCTTCTCCATCCCTCTGAAAAAGGCCTTGCTGCATTGCTGCCAGTTCTTGACCAGGAGGAGTGCAGACAGCATCTGGCGGAATCCGAACGCCGGGCCGAGTTGGAGAAACAGCAGGCACAGTTGTGGGGTAATTGAGGAGTCGCGAGGGGATTTTGGGGTGGCGTAGTACTTTTGGACATGCTTTTTTTTAAAACCATCCAACGTATTTCAAATGCGCAACAAATTCATTGAGAAAACATCACCGAATCTCAACATATCTCTACTGGTATGCTTTTGATGTTTTTAAAGTCTTCAAACTGCGACCGTAACACCTTCGTCAGTGTTCACCTTGTTCTTCAGAACAGGACCTTAAATTCGATCCTCAAAAGTGGTCCACAGGGCTAATGTTAGGGGATTTTTAATGATGCACCATTGTTTTTTTCCCCGAACTAGTGTCCTGGCTTTTCCTCACGTTTCTGCTTCCACAAAAAAGCCGCTCCCCATCCTCCAAAACTGGGTCAACGTCTGTTGGGTGGGTCAATAGGTTGATGATTTTAGCCATAAATGGAAGAACATATAAGGAACTAACATCTGCTACTAACGATTATGAAGCAATTGGAAGGTATCAAAAGGTTGCCAATAGCAAATGGCTGTTCTTTTTCTTCCCGCTTCCTTTGTTCAACCAGCCATTGCTGTTTTCGGTGGTTTGGAATCCCAACAAGACCTTAGTGACTGAGAGTTTGGTTGATCTCCTCTGGTGGATTCATATCTCCCTGATAGCTGTATACCTTAAGCACGGACCTGAATTGGACTACCGGAAATCAATAGGAAAGTAGGAACACCGTATATGTATATAATATATTATAATATAATATATATGTAGAATATCTGTATAATATATATATATATATGTAAAATATATAATTATATACTATATATAAACATATATATATATTATGAATACATATATATATATATGCAATATATGTATATATATACAATATATATATACAATATATATATATATACATGTATAACATATAATATATGTATGTATAATGAATATGTATATATATATGTATATATATATATGTATATATGTATATATATGTATATATATGTATATATGTATATATATATATGTATATATATATGTATATATATATAATTATATATGTATATAGTAGTGAGTAGGCATGATGCTAGGTTGATTGCTTCATTTTCATCCATCCATCATTCCATCCACCATATCCATTTTTCACCCATCATTTTTCACCATCAAAAAAATCCATTCATCGCCCATCTTCCACCATCTCACCACCATCTCACCAAATATTTTCTCATTCATCTTTATTTTTCATTGTTCCAATCTATTTCCCATTTCATAATTCCAATCATCTTATCATTCATCTTCATTTTTCATGTTCTCATTTCATGTTTCCATCATCTTTTCATTCATCTTCCCATCCATCTTCACTTTCATCTTCACCATTCATCCAATTCATTTCATCTTCATCTCATTCATAGGGTTATAGCAATCAACCTAGCATCATGCCTACTCATAGAAAAATAGGTAGAAAATACCCAACATCCGCCCCGCATGCTCAAGCAGGAAGACCCAGAAGAGGGGGCGATGGGCAGAAGCAGTGGTGTGGTTGGGATGACCCCTTTTTTTTGAGTAGGTAGATAGATAAATAGATAGATAGATAGATAGGATACCGATACATATACAATATACATACGTGACATATGTATATACATTTGACGACGACAACGATGACGACGACAGCGAATTTGGAGAACACCAACATCCACCAAAAATGGTGCGACTGGCATGTTTTATTTGCCTTTGCGTGATTTATGCCACTCGTTTTTTGAAGCGGTCATACCATTATTTTTGGAGAGCAGATTGAGAAATCATTTTGAAATTGCGATGTGGCGTTGAGAGCACTAGCATTGAAATTTGTTTTGGAGGCACGTCATTCAGAACAGACACGTCGTGAACCTGAAGCTTTGGAGGCACGATGGTGAGAAGCCAACGGAGACCATCCAAGTCAACGGTGGAGAATTGCAAGGCGACTCAGAAGCAATCGAGGAATATGACAACGAAAAGAAGATCGCGGCTGATGGCTTGACAGGGTATTTTACCCCGAAAGACTTCAAGTATCCAGTTTTGGACAGCATCCTCCGATACAAGCAGAAAGAAACAATCATGGTTCTCGCCATCCAGATCAGTATTGCTCAGACCCATCAACATGACCAGCCACGCTCGAACAGCTTGTTGGAAAAGAAAGGGGAGGAAAAGCCCAAGCCAAAGTTGGCGCTCTGGGATTTCGGAGCAAAGGACAAACGGCGCACTTGGACACCGACCACGTCGGACTATTGGGATTTGATGTATGTGGAATGCAAGGAGTTTATGAAATGGTTTCAGCAAATCAGTTGAGAAGGAGACACTGTAAAGCAGTTCGCGCCCTAAATATTTCACCGCAGGATGAGCAGAGACATCTGAGGTAGGCGATGGGATGGGGTAGTTGATGGTGGGGATGGTGGAGTAGATATTTTTAAAGGATTTTTTCTATGAGTAGGCATGATGCTAGGTTCGTTGCTATGAAACTATGATAATGAAGATGATGAAAATGAAAATATGATGGATAAGATGAAAATGAAGATGAATGAGAATATGAATGGAAAGATGATGGAAACATGAAATGGAAATTAGATTGGAACAAATAAAAATGAAGATGAATGAGAAAAATATTGGAACATGAAATGGAAATTAGATTGGAACAATTAAAAATGAAAATGAATGAGAAAAATATTGGAACAATGATTGATGATACGGTGGGAATGGTTGATGAATGGAAAATATGATTGATGATATGGTGGAAAAAATGATGAATGAAAAAATGGAAATGGTGGATGGAATGATGGATGGCAAAAATGAAGCAACGAACCTAGCATCATGCCTACTCACTACTTATATATATGTATATATATGTATATATATGTATATATATGTATATATATGTATATATATGTATATATATGTATATATATATATGTATATATATATGTATATGTATATATGTATATATGTATATATATGTATATAAATGTATACATATATATATGTATATAAATATGTATATATATATATATATATATGTAAATATATATGTATATATGTATATATATATATATGTATATTTATATATGTACAAGATATATGTATATTTATATATGTATCATATATATATATACATGTATATGTTTATATTTATATATAATATATGCATATATATAATATTATTATAGTATATTTATATGTAATATATATATAAATATGTATAATATATATATGTATATGTATGTAATATATATATACGTATAAATATTTTTGTATAATATATACATATATATATGTATATATGTATATATAATAGACATATATATACGATATTGATATATATAAATGTATAATGTTTAATATATATGTATAATATATATATATGTATAAAATATAAATGTAAAATAAATATATGTATAATATGTATATTTTTTGATGCTTTATAACATATAATAAATATGTATGTATATATATATTATATGTACAATAAATATGATATGTATAATATGTATATATTATATGTATTTTAAAATAAAATAAATATGTATAATATAAATATAATATGTATATATTACATATATAACATAATATGATATGATATGATATAACATAATATAAAATAGTTATTATATATATATGCTTTATAATATAAAATGAATATTTATAAAATAATATTATATAATATATAATATATATATGATATAATATAACTAAACATATAATATATATATGATATACTGTAATGTAATATAAAATAAATATAATATATATTTGATATAATATAATATAAAATAAATACAACATATATATATATGTGATATATACTGTAATATAAAACAAATACAATATAGATGTGATATAATGTAAGACAAGACAATTACAATATATATATATATAATATAATATAAAATAGATATATATATATATATAATATAATTTAAAATAAATACAACATATATGAGATAATATGATATAAAATAGATACAATATATATATATACACACACGATATAATATAATATAAAATAATTACAATATATATATGTTATAATATAACATAAGATAAATACACTATATATACGATATAATTTAATATAAGATAAATACAATATATATATGATATAACATAACATAAGATAAATACACTATATATATATGATATAATTTAATATCAATACAAGATAGATAGATATATATATGATATACAATATATAAAATAAATACAACATATATATATGATATAATATAACATAAGATAAATACACTATATATATATATTATATAATTTAACATAAGATAAATACAATATATATATGATATATAATATAAAATAAATACAATATATATATAATAGAGCGCAAAAAACATTGCACAATTAGTTTCTGCTTTTTTCCCTTTGAATCCCAGGATGGGATGAAAGGGACATTTTCCGGAACCGGTAAAAAACCATAAATTCATCTTTTTTTTGCCTTCAACAAAGTTAACTGGTGGTAGTTAGTAATCCACAAATAATCATCATTTATTGGTAAACCATTTACCAATCCCTATAGATCGGTCGGTCCACCGATATCGAGATAAATCAAACCCAAAAAATGCACAATCCACATATTGCCCAAATGGCAGGTTTAGGGCGGTTTACCACTTTATAATACTTTAAAACTTTATAATCATTTTGTCCATTGATTGGTGGGTGTTTCCCATAAATGGACTACTGGTAACAATCCCTCTGGATGGGTTTATCCCATAGGTTGATTTTTTGTAAACACCACATTGTCAAATTATCAACCCCCATTGTCTATATTGCATATCAATATTGTTCCACCATCCGTATTATCAATCCCTATCAATACCCTATTATAGCACCCCCCAAAAAGGATAGAAACGTCATTCAGACTCCTAAAGATAGACCACCGAAGAATTGTTTTTCCATCCTTCTTGGGGATTACTACTAGTATCTACTAGTAATATTATGGAAACTCATCCCCCAATGCCTGGCTTGAGCCGTTTTCACAATTGGTCCAGCCATCAGGCCGACGTGGCGCGCTCCTTCCAGGAGCTGCAAAACGTGGTGTCGCAGCTCCTGCCGTGGCTTTCGGAGGCGCTATGCAGAAGCACTGGAGTCTTGCTGCAATCAGCGGTGGTACTGTAACACTTTCACCACATAATATGATTACAGTAATATGTATCTATAATGATATACATGTGTGTATAACTATGTATACATGTATCATGTATCTATACTATATACATTTTATATTGAAATTATGTGTATACAGACGGTTTTTTAACCGGTCTCCTCACAAGACGGACCCCGCAAATCACCTACTGAACTAAACCAACTTCGCCAACAGCTAACGATTTGGCCCCCGCAAACTTGTATGAACATCGATAACATCGAGGTATCACCATTCTAGTCACCATTAGAAATTTTAGTCACCATTCTAAAACATGTTTAAACCACATTTCTATCCATGTTCCCTCATGTTTGTTGCTTCAAATCCTCATTTTCACCCATTTTCCCATGATCTCCCGTCTAGCTGCGAAACTCACCGCAGCTCTACGACCAGCGTAGTCGCCTACTCGAAGAGAAGAGTGCTGCAGAGGACGTGACGACCAAACTCATGTACTCATGTGGGGTTAATGGGGATATAATTTGGGATTAACCCATTCTATGATATTCTATGGGTGTTGCGTAAGTCATGGGGGATCCCCAAGAGTCACCATGGTTGTTTCAATACAAAGCCATGGCTTAGGAAACCTCCATCTGGATGATCGGAATTTAGACGCCTTTATGGGAATAAACCATGACCATGGTAAAGCAATAGGATCCACCATCCCCAATTTTCTCAGAAATGGGCGGTATAAGCCATCAAAATATGGATGGTTTAGTATTGCATATGGTTGCTTTACTAACATTATAGGGGTTCATTTGGATATAGTGGGATTGGCCATCAAAATTGGACGTTCATTTTTGGTTTAATATGGGTTTATCATGTGTAACCATCGAAGATTGGATTTACCTACTTTTTTAAAGAAATGGGGTATCCCGCAAATACTTTTTTTGGGAGAATCACATTTAATAAACCGGCAGTTGAAGGTCAATAGAGGGTCAATGGGAATGCCCCAAATTGCAGATCAACCATGGATTTTCTGACCGGTGTCAACCCTGGATTGATAGACCCTGTGCGTTTTCTTAAAGCGTAGATTGTGTGCGAGTAGCAAAGGAAATCAGTGATTTTTGGACCTAAATCCATACAACTAGTTGAGCAAGTGGGTTCACATTACCTTGAACTGCGAGAGTTTAGCCAACCAAAAAAAGGAATTTACCAATGAATCTACTGTATATAGGTGAGTTCTTGGGTCAGTCTTGGGTACGCAACAGACCTGGAGGATTTGAAATTTCTTTGAAATAGCTACATTCAAATATATCTATGTATGATAAGTAGGGTTGGGATACGTCAACAATCAACAATCAACAATATCTATGACATGAGTGTTCTTTGAACTTGGTTGTAAAGTGTGAGTGAAGTTGCAACGATGGCCGACCGGTGGTCCCTTACGCTCAAGCTGCTTAAGGGGGGTTTTGCCATGGGCCTTGGAACGTGGACCATCTTTCTTGCGGGTGCACTGGCTGGGCAAATATCTCTGATTGTTCCCTTTTTGAGTGGGGCTGGGTACTTTCGATCAAACACTGACCTTGAGCTATCGGTTGCACGAGCTGTATCTGAGACTCTGAAATTTTGTGTCGATCTGGAACCAACCACCTCTAGTACCACAACTCCTTCTAGTGATTTTTTCTTCTTTGGTGAATCGCCCAAAGTTCACATCATTTGGTGGCTGTTGAGTGTTTTTTGGCTAGCCTTGACTACGTTGATTGCCACTTGTGGGTGTGGACACTATTGGGTGGGGCACTGGAGGAAGAGCAGAGAGTACACCAATCCATCCCTGGGTGATTTGTCACCAGTCAGTCCGCCAGTCAGCTTGGAGACTCTGGCCCGAAACCAATTGGCTGAGCTCAGAGTAAGAAGGCATGCTGACCGGGCGCCTCGCGCTCTTGGAGTATGATGTGCCGGGGCCGGTGGTGATACATGAGCGACTGATACTGGAACACCTGAGAGACGACATGTATGTAGTAGCGACACCTGATAGAGATGTTTTTGTTGAACAACTGTCAGCAGACAACCAGGATTTGAGGTCATTCAGGCTGCGTCCTCAGGCAAACATGTTGCCTCCGGGGGTTCAGGCGGGCCAGGTTTACGCCTTGCCGGCTTGGGCACCTGATGAGATGACTGCAATTCGACAGGAAGCACGTCAAGTGGCTCAGGTAGAGCGTGCAGCTATGGGGGTCGGGCAGGCGGTAGCTCCTCCTGTTGCTGCAGTGGCTGGGGCACGAGTTGTTGCGCCTGCTCGCGAAGACAGTTCTCGAGCTCCAGGCGCTGCTAACCTGGCCCCAGGTGTTTTGACTTGGGTTGCAGCTGAAGGGATTGATGGCTATGATAGCGTTGAAGGGGTGACTGCTCCCTTGGCTTTGGGTGCAAAGACTGTTCACACTCTTGGTGATGGTAGAAGCTTGTTTTGCATATGCATCAATGACGCTACTGCAGAGGAGTTCAACTGCCGAGCTGTGCAGTGTGATGGACGATTGGCTCGAAGGAAGATCAATGCTTTGGGAACCCCAGAAATCTCCATTGCAGAAGTGGTTTCTGGATCAAAGGAGTTTGACATGCTCTGGAAGATTCAGGGCCCCAGGACTGCTCAATGGTGCCTCAACTACTTGGCCATTGAGGGTCTTGGACTGGAAGGGCATCACGAACGCTTCAGGCAGCTGTGCAAGTTGGACTCGGCCGCCTGGGGAGTGCAGGAGCATTTTCAGCTGTCGATGATGTTGCGCCAGCTGCTGCAAGTGGATTGCTTCAATGGGTGCAATTCGCTGGGCATTGAGCTTATGTTTCGGCGTTTGCAGACAATAGAGTATGCTCATAGTGAAAAGGCAAGAGAAGCTGAAAGCCGGGTTGCTGGGGGCAGACTGGCCCTCGAGGAGCAGAACGTTTTCGGCTCCGTGGTGAGGCATGCTGGCACTTTGATGATAGCGCCGTCGTTGCTGAGCCATGTGAAAGAAGAAACTGAGAAGGAAGTCTTGTTAGCAAAAAACCTCCGGAAGGCAAAGGAGGAAAGGGAGCTGGCAGCAAAGAAGGGTGGCGGCAACAAGAAGAAGCAGGAAGAGAACCCCTAGACGAGGGGTTGGCTCAGGGCTTTGGCGGTCAAGCACCTGAGCCGATAACCATTGGCCGTCATGAAGGTCCTGCCAGACCGGTTGCCCGAGACCTCTTTCCTCTTCCGTCGTTGGGCACCTCGAGCATGGTGCCTCGTGGCTTGAGCAGAGCAGTTCGTCGAAGGCTCGAGAAGCGCCATCATGTTTCAGCTCTGGCGGAGGAGTGTGTACAGTCCTTGAATGCTTTGTATTCTGGAGAGAAGGTTGTTGCTTCGACTTTGTCAGGTAGACCCTCTTTAGCGCAGCAGAGTGTTCTAGAGCATGTTTTGAATTCAGTGAAGTTGTTGGGTCCTCCTCCGGAGGGCCTAACAGGCCCAGGAGCGCTCGAGCAGCTCCGAGCTTTCGATGGCTACGGGGATGACCAGACCCCGGCCGCCATTCGGCCATATTCACCCCAGCTCCTATCTTTGCCTACGTGTGGCAGTGAAGCTGTCACGCTCGAATCTTTGATTGGAGAGGAGGGCGGTTCAATTGTGGACGAGTTCATTCGTACACGTCTTCTGCCTGAGAGTGAGGCCCGCAAGGTTCTCAAGTCTAGTGGATTAGGCCAAGCGTATAGTGACCCCCAATTGAGGGAACCAAATACTTATGCTCGATTTGTGGAAAGGTTGATCTCTGCTGACATTGTGGAACTAACCTTTGAGGCCAACAAGGAAAGTGTTGAAATGTTTTTTGTCGCCAAGAAAGACGGTAGGCTGCGGATGGTTTGCGACTGTAGGAGATCAAACTGTCATTTCACTAAGCCCGACAAAGTGCGTCTTTGCACTGCCGAGAGTCTGACTCGCATTCATGTTCCTGCTGATGAGAAGCTTTTCATTGCGACGGCAGACCTAAAAGATGCATTTTATCACTTTCAGCTTCCGGTAGCTTTGAGACCACTCTTTGGAATGCGATCACTGAGAGCAGGAGAATTGGGGCTAACGGAACTGCATGGCAGGGAGGTTAGGCCTTTTGAGGTTATTTATCCTCGTCTCAAAGTGTTGCCTATGGGGTGGTCGCATGCTCTTTTTTGGTGTCAGAAATTACATCAAGCTGTAGTTGGAGCTGTGTGCGCAGGGCCTGACAACCGTTTGGAAGATCGAATGGCTGTTCCCCATCACTCTTGTATGCACCTAGAATATGTTGACAATTTTGTTGTTTTAGGAACTGCTGAAGAGGAAGTTCAGGGCCTAGCTGCAGCTGGCGTTGAAGCACTAAGAAACAAAGGCCTCGTGGTTCACGAAGTAGAGAAGGCCTCTACAGAAGAGGGCGCAGTCAAAGTTCTAGGTTGGCAGTTCAGCGGAACGAAGCTTCAGCCATTGCCAACCAGGGTCTGGCGTGTTCGCATGGCCATTCAGCAGATACTCAAGATTGGCGTTGTTCCGGGTCGTCAGCTTGAAAAAGTAATTGGTCATGCGGCTTTTATTTGTCTAGGTAGGCGAGAAGCATTGTCTATATTTGGGGAATCCTACACATTTATACATCGCCACTATCAACATCGACACCGGTTGTGGAAGTCTGTTCGGAGAGAGTTGCAGATATTTTGTGGCATTCTTCCGTTGATTTGGAGGGAGCTATCATTGGAGTGGTCGTCAGATGTGATGGCAGTAGATGCATCAAACTGGGGGCTGGGGGCTACAGTTGCAAAGTTTTCTGATGATGAGGTCAGTTCATTAGGTCGTTTTTCTGAGAGGTGGCGTTTTGAGTCAGACAATTTCATGAAGCCTTGAGCAACTGCTTTTGGTGTTCAAATGGGTGACCAATCCGACGAGGCCGATGCATTGCAGTGGGCTGCGGGTCTTCCCGGCGTCCACGAGGAGCCTGGGCCGTTGAGTATTGGGGAGGAGCGGGATGAGTCAGCTAATTTTTCCCCTGTCCCAGCAGAAATATTGAATCGGGATTGGTCAGTCATTGGTCGTCACAAGTGGAAGAGACAGCAGTCTATGCCTATTCTGGAAGGTAGGGCCACCCTTTTTGCTGTCAAACATTTTTTGCGGAAAGTTTCCAACCACCACAGAAAACATCTTATTTTTTCGGATAGCATGTCTGCAATATGTGCCATAGATAGGGGACGTGGAAAGACGCACGGACTCCGAAGAGTAACACAACAAATCGGAGCGTTGCTTTTGGCTACTGGTAGCACAATATCAATCCGCTGGGTGGCATCAGAGCTCAACCCGGCCGATGGGCCATCTAGGGGTTCCCTTTTTGCTTCTCGTCCGACAGTGCCTGTAGCCCATGGTGATCCACAGGTTGATACCATTGCCGACCCAGAAAACAAAAAGCCCAATGAAGGTGGCAAAAAAGGCCAAGTGCAAAACAGCTGCCTTACCTCTCAAGAGTCAGCCGAGAGAGGTAGACAAGAAAGCTCTGGTTCGCCAACGGAAAGCACAGCTGGAGTCAGTGGGCAGCCTGGTTCAAGCATCAATTGGTGCTACAGCAAGACGGCGCTATGCAACCATGTGGGAGCATTTCAAGTGCTCAACCAATTTGCGCATCAGCGCTCGGACCAGAGCGCCCGCCGTGGATGCAGCACTTTGTCAAGTTCTTCACGAGATGTTTTTGGAAGGGCAAAGTTTGAGTGCTGCGCAGTACATGGTTGCATCAGTGCTTTTTCATGCGCCTCAGTTCAAGTCCCACCGAATGTCTCTTTTACCGACTTCGAAACAGACTATGCAGGGCTGGAGGAAACTGGACCCTCCCCTTTCACGTCTTCCTTTGCCTCACGAAGTGGTATGCTTGATGGCCAAACATGCATTTCGAACTGGGAGGATCCAAGAGGGGCTGAGGATGCACCTAGCCATGGAGGCCTACCTCCGTCCTGGGGAAATCACACGAATCAGGGTCATGGATTTCGTCCCGCCTCTGCCAGGAAGTCGCGGAGCAAAATGGTCCATCGTGCTCCATCCAGTGGAGATGCAGTGCATGTCCAAAGCCCAAGAGTTCGACGAGACCATTTTGATGGACCTGCCAGATCAAGGGATCCTTGCAGAAACAATTTACCGAGTGTGCAGACTGGGATTCCGCCAGAACTACGAGCGCGTCTTCAGTCCGAGTTTTCAGCAGATGATGGACGTGATGCAGGCAGCTTGTCACCACTACAATCTGCAAAGCCTGGGGCCACCGCATGCTTACAGACTCAGGCATGCGGGTCCGTCCCGAGATTTTTTGCTGAAGTTGCGGACCATGTCAGACATTCAACATCGAGGCCGCTGGAAGGCAAGCTCATCCACACGCCGTTACCAAAAAGGAGGAAGACTGCAACAAATGATGCACCTACTTCCCGACGCGGCCCGGCGAGAAGCTCTTCGGGCCTACCAAGATCGAGCGCAAACACTCCGCGGCCTCCGTTGATGTACAAGTTGCCTAAAGATTGCCCAGTCTATGTGGAGATTTTTTCTGGGAGCGGTTATTTATCTCAAAGCGTTGCCCGATTCACTTGCTGGTTTGTGCTACTCTGGGATATTTCTTTGGGTCCAGCTTATGATCTCCGCGTCAGAGCTAACCGGCATCTTCTAGGCAATTGGGTGCGCAGTGGAGTGGTTGTTGGTTTTCATTTGGGCATGCCTTGCGACAGTTTCACCAGAGCACGTGATGTGCCTCCAGGACCTCCTCCTTTAAGGAGCGACCAACACCCACTGGGGCTTCCAGGGCTCTCTGCAAGAGACCAACTCAAGGTGATCGTTGGCAATCTTTGGATGCGTTTTTCTGTTTGGATGTTGCGCCTTGCAATCGCCTTCAATGTTTTCGCAACCTTGGAAAATCCTCAACGGTCGCGTTTGTGGTTGTGTCCTCCTGTTTTGGCCTTGATGCGACATAGGGCGGTTCACTTGCATGTGACTCATTACTGCTACTGGGGCAAACCTTTTAAGAAGGCTACTTCATGGTTGGCGGTGAACTTTTTGTTGCATAGAATGGATCCATCTCTATGTTCAGCTTCAAAGCGTGGCTTGTGTCCTTTTTCCCACGCCCCACACCTACAGATGTGCGGACGTGATCACAGTGGCCAGTGGTTGACCAGGATGGCGCAACCCTATCCTGTTAAGATGTGCCATGCCATTGCCAAATGCTTGCATGATGCTGAGGTTGAGAGAATTGCTCAACGTTTTCAGAACAAATGGGCAAAACCCGGCTGAAGCCAGTTGGCGCTGCAAATATGGGCCATCGTTGGATAGATTGTGGCTTGGTTCTTGTTTGTTTTTTCTGCGCAAATATGGGAGTCTGGATTCTGCACAATTTTCACTGGACAGTGGTTGGATTCTTGTGGGCATTTCTTCGCTTGAACAGTGGCGTGTGTTGATCCTACCGATTCTGCGCAATGTTCATTGGACAGCGTTTTGATTCTTGCAGGTTTTTCTTCGCTTGAACGTGGCATGTGTCGATCCAACATCCTCGTGCAGAAGTCGAGTCACAGAGCTGGCCTTTCAGTGGAAAAAGGAGCGGAACGGTGCATGAGTGTTCTTTGAACTTGGTTGTAAAGTGTGAGTGAAGTTGCAACGATGGCCGACCGGTGGTCCCTTACGCTCAAGCTGCTCCCTTCCCAATGACTTGTCCCACCCTTGGGACCACCTCGGGAGTCTGGATTCTGCACAATTTTCACTGGACAGTGGTTGGATTCTTGTGGGCATTTCTTCGCTTGAACAGTGGCGTGTGTTGATCCTACCGATTCTGCGCAATGTTCATTGGACAGCGTTTTGATTCTTGCAGGTTTTTCTTCGCTTGAACGTGGCATGTGTCGATCCAACATCCTCGTGCAGAAGTCGAGTCACAGAGCTGGCCTTTCAGTGGAAAAAGGAGCGGAACGGTGCATTGACGTGACCCGATGGCTGGATCATAGTTTGTCATAGGTATGTTCTTGTGGTTTACAATTCCCCGAATGTCAAGTGGCACATGGATACGTGGAGTACAACCATAGTTGCAGATCAATTGAATGGAGATTTGACGCTCTTTGACATGATTTTACCAACACAAAGTGAAAGATGAGCAGAACATAGCAGAACTGTGTTGATTTTACAACCCAAAATGAATACTAGTAACCCTAAATTCATAGCCTGTTTGATTAAGTATTTGGGTTAGCCACAAGATGATTTCAACTGTCAGGCAAAGTGGTACCTTCCCCCGTTTCATGAACAGCCCAAGGGATCATTAATCCCCGACCCCCGCACCTCCCAACCCTGACGCGGCTACAACACCCTCCCCTACCTGGTTGCCATAAGACCTCTGCGAACCCATCATACCAATCTATCCAACTACAAAAGCAAACCCCAAAAAGATAGAAGAGTGAAATCTGACCAAAATCCTGAAGAATGATATCAACGTTTCTATCTTTTCAGGGCTTACTATAGATATTTTTCGGTGTCCAACAAGTCATGGTACCCCCAGTCATCATCCATTTCTTGGGTGGATTCCAGCTGAAACCATCCAGCTGGTGCCATGGAAACCATGGAAACCTCCCCAGGAGTCCGCCACGAAGTTGAAGTCCGAGTTGGTCCGTTGGCGGCTTCTTTGGACTGTTCCTTGGCACAGCGAGGATGCGATGATTAAATGGCCCAAAGGTGGCCATGAAAATAAGGGGAAATGGCCTGGAATTGTATGATTTTTTGATGTTCAAATGGGGGATACTTGGGGAATCTATTGTGTAGGAAGACTTTTTATTGTCTTTTGGGTTCCTTAAGCAAGTCCAAGATGGTGATAAACCATTGAAGTTTGGGCTGGCACAGTGAATGGGACTGAGGAAAGTCATGCCCAGCTTCGAAGTACTCAACATTTTTGTTGAATATTTGTGGATATTCCGGATTTGCCATAATATCAGGGGATGGAGTCCATGGAGTATGCCCAAGAGTGACCAAAGCCTCGAGTCCGCTGGGCCATAGATCTTAAAGTGACCCATGCGCATATGACTGCAGATCCAACCCAGTCGAGACGCGACAAAACTCCAGGAGAGAATTGCATTTCTTTCTCTTATATCTACGTGTTTAAGTATGTTTGAGTCAGATATTCAGGTGCGTGTATTTGCGTACATTAAATGATCATATGTGCACGCATACATAAGAAAACACTACTATTTAATTAGTAAGTATATAATGTATATAAGTGTCTAAAATATGTAAATATTGTCATGTTCATTTACATATGCAGTTGTACTCACATATGCATATGTACACACATACATACAACATATATGTTTATAATTGAATAAAAATGTAGATACTATATACATATGATAGAAGTACATGTATTCTAACGATGAAACGATCCATTCCACCAGCGATGGCCCAGGCTCCAAGTACCTTGGTGGAGGATGGCTCTGCTGCCTGGCAGCGACCCAGGGGACCCAGCAAACCCAGGGGACCCAGGGGACCCAGGGCCCAGGGCCCCTTGCGGGAGGAACGGGCAACGGTTGATGATTAGTTCTGGGAGTATACCAACCAATATATTGGGGAATATCACAACCTACTAAAATTGAAGGGAGTGCAAAGGGACGACGCAGGGTTTGGAACACTGCTCAATTACCCATCAAGGGATACCAAGGGTATGTAAACCATGAAAACATGGCGGAAAAAATGGGATATGAAACAAATGCAATATAATGGGATATATAACTCTCATTGCGCAATAATACTACTATAAAGGGCTATAACTTTCAGTGAAATAATGTGGTGAGTGATATCACCACAAAAACCATAAGTAAAGTGTGTATAAACCCGCATCTTCAGACATAGGGCTATATTCGTATGTATATATATATAGTATTAACATATATTAACATGTATATATATATACATATATAGACAACCAACAATTTCACAATGACAGACATGTAGATATGGATAATGCACCATGAAAATAGATAATTTTCCGAACGGGACACCTTCTTTTCCACGTCGTTTTTATAGTTTGCTGGAGGAGAGCCATCAAAAAACGGGGTGACAGTGGTTCCCGGTTGACCAACACAAATGGTGATACCCTCCGGCAATCAGCCACATGGCTTGCTGGAAATCCATCAACACCTCCATTTATAGGAGACTTCCCGGCCAGCCACGTTTGACCTTGAATGACCTGCCGATTTGGGCAAAACGATGTGGAAGAATCAATGCTTTCCCTAGGGAAATGATTTGCACGTGGTGGGTTTTCCACATCTATGTTTGCAGGAGGGTATATGTTTAAATACTATATATATATGTATAATACAACCCTCCATGTGGATCATGTGGTCAATGACAAATCAAAAACAGGAGGCAACGGAAAAAGAAACCATGTGAGCCAGCAGCTGTGAAGTTGAACACCTGATTGTTTGGGATTCTTGTTGAAATTTCAAGTTTCCATGGGGAAAATCCAGGTACCCTCCAATAATCAAAGGTGACAACGGGAAATCCCATAAATGGAGGTTTTAATGGGAAAATCATAGAACTAAATGGGACAATTTTGGCATTTAATGATTTAATGTTTGATTACTGGAGGATATTCCCATCAACGTCCCCATTTTTGTTGGTTAAATTCCTATTAATCACCATAAACGGGTGCTACACACCATCCCCAAATGGTGGTTTATTCTTGGCTTTCTCACATTGATATAGTTAAATCACTATGAATCACCATAAGAATATCATTAACAAAAGCACCCCCTATAAATCCATCTCTCCATTATAAAGGGACCATAGAAAGGGGCTGTTGAAACATGTTGAAATTAGGGGATGGGATTCACACAAAAAAATCCTATCCACCAACTTTCATCTATAGTGATTCATCCCATAGTCCCACGTAAAAGTGCATAGTCCCATATTAGTCCCATATTCGCTCACCACGAGGCCATGCGTGCCACACGTGCCAACCACTCGCCCGCCAATGGTGCACGACGAGGTGGGGAAATCATCAAACATTGGGATTTCACCAGGAAAAATTGGGATCGAAGTATGAAAACATGGTATTTAACCAACAAGAATAGTGTTATGATCATTTGGAATCCACTGTGATCCAGTTATATGGGATAAGCCCAATCCTCGGAGCTTGCTAATCAGGGTTATTACATGTTACAAACCATGGTTGAAACGTGAGCAGTGCTTCTCGGCTCCAGCTGGTTGATAATCTTGATAATCATGGGGATTCACCCTCCCAAATTTGTTGTTGTTGTTGTTGTTGTTGTCGTTGTCGTTGTCGTTGTCGTTGTTGTTGTTGTTGTTGGTTGTTGGGGAGGCCCTTAATGAGCCATGAATCTAAAAAAGGGGTTACCTTTCGGTGGGATCCCTAGGCATATGCTATGTGGAATGAGGGTTTTGACTGCTGACATATAAGTCGGACCTCCGCAACGTGCTATTTTCATTTGTTTGGACCGTTTTTTTGTTCTTTGAAACCAACGTTCGCAACCTCGCCCATTTAGAGATGATTCTCCTTGAGGAACTGGAGATTACCGGTAAAAATTGGTAAATATCTTCTATTTAAACCACCATTTGTAGCTGACGGGCCCTTCACATCAGCACTTGGGAAATTTCTACAATGTACCCTCAGATCTTTTAAGCACATTTTAACCCAGACAGTTGAAAACCACCATCAGATTGCAAATAGGTCATCAGAATGTACTGAAATGTCTGGGTCTGATTGAAGATACTGTAGGCCAGGCCACAGATTTCATCCCATGCGACCCCAAAGATATCCAAAGATTCTGGAGCTATCGATGAACTCTCGGATCAAAAGGTGGTCTCTGTTGTGGTTGCTTCTATGAGTCACACCTCTCCGTTGTTAAAACATGACGGTTCAACAATTTCGATCGTTTTTCAATGTTTTTCATATCGATATTTGATGAATTTACATTTGAAACAAGAAAAACCGCCCCAGAGTCATCCAGGTTTCAGGTGTCTCCCCCAAACTGCTAGGCTGCTAGATGTGTTTGAAACAAGGCTATGCAGAAATCATGCTCCATCATCATTGTTCCAATTTGTTCCACACTTTTCCCATCGTTTCCCTAAAAAACAACTGGCCATACCTTGGGGCCACGCACGGAAGGCCCGACGCGGGCGTCGTCACTCTCCGCCACGAAGCGAGCGGCGGAGGTCTATGGCCGCGACTTGCACCGCCGCCCAAGCCCCTGTCGGCTGAGGCGGGCGCCGTAGCTAAACTTAGCTGATTTAACCATGAAAGATATGAAAGATATGAAAGATGGTGATGTGTGGCCGAACATAGCTGATTTATGATGAGTAAATCGGTTTACAACTACAACTTCACTGGGATTTATGATGGTAATGATAGTTGGATAATAAGCCGACTTCTAACTGGGGGGCACCAGCTTCTAGATTGTGGTTAGAATTGGGGGACTCATTCCCAAATGGAGGGAACTTGATGGTGAAGCATTATAACATCTACTTTATCCAGATGATGAATGTATAGAATCTTCATGGGAATTCCATGTTGGTGTTGCGGAAATTGGCAAAGAGATGCAAAAGGCATATAATTTGTATTACTTTCTTTCAATCCACATTCTTCATGATTTTTTTTCATAGTTAGATCCTCATGAAATCACCATTTTTGTTGGTGAAATCCCCTGAAATCCGGGTGGTCCCGAGTGGATCGTGGCAGGTGCAGGGCTGAGGAGGAGAAGTCCAAAGTGCCACCAGGTGCAACGCGACGGTGCCACCGGGCGCATGCTATGACTGGAGATTTGTAAACACATAGCTCAGATAGCCATAGAAGCCCAGCCAACATAGGATTAATGATGATTATATAATTATATAATATCTGTTGACTAATACTATTAGCGATATGATTGGATTATGTTATACTATATAATACTATGAACACTTACTAAGCGCAAGCTCTCTATATATGTACACTATAATTCTTGAACATATGATCTCTACATATTGGCAATTTGATGGGGCATTGGTATTACATGTTTGAGCTGGGTGACCCGTGGATTGGTCGGTGTTTTTTCAATCCTAATTTTGATTATTGTTGGTTGAATCCCAATGTTTGTTGGCATATTTTTTACGTGTTTTTTATTATACCAGTTTGATTCATGTAGCCATATCTTTCTTATTTTCCCCTGGGTCAGATTCATAGTTTCCCAGTCATATCTTTGTGTACTACAACCACGCCTTGAAGGGAAGTTCGAAAACAAGAATGGATGCCTCTGCACTGGGTACCAGTGTAATGGGACTCATACCTACATCCCCCAAAACCCAGAAAAGCTGTTGAATGAATTGAACATGTATCAAGATGTTGGCATAAGGCACCAAATTCTATTTTTTCTGATACTGTAACTTCTCAACGCATCCTACAACCAATCAGTAGGTTATATGTCCCTAGTCCTGATTTTTGTGTCACGACCTCACGAAAACCTGAAAAACATCCCACAGTTTTGGTTCAAATCCCCCTATGCCCTGCAGATGGTTGCCAAATCCACCAGTTGGTGGGCAAAATCCCATGATTTGCTTTGGGTTTTAACCATCCTTTTGGTGATGTATTTCGTCCATCCACAGTATGTCGGCTGCGCCAGCCTTGGCGGAGCTGGAGGGGGAACTCCGGAACTTGGCGCCCACCGGCTCCTTGGCGTCTGAGGAAAGCAGCAGGAATAGATCGGGAGGATTCACCATCAACTTTATTGGGATTGATTGGGGTTCATTATATATATATATATAATTATATATTTTTATATAACTATATATATATATATATATTATATGTATCGTTATATATATATAATTATATATATATATATATGTAGATCTGGGGAATTATTAATGACCTCACTCTGACGTCACTTGTCTGACGGTGAAAGTATAGGGGAATCATCCCCAAATGGCAGCAGATAGATAGAACAGTGGGAAACCTGGAACTATCTTTGGTCAATATTCTTTCGACTTTTGAATCCTGGTTAAACTCACTTTTTGGCATCTAAACTTGGGGATATACAGATAATTATCCTCAGTTCTGGGTTATAAGCTATGTAATTAAATGTAATTAGTAAGGGAGCAATAAGTAGTAATTAACAACCACATGAAATCTTCCAGTTGTCTCTCTCTCTCTCTCTATATATATATATATACACATCAATTGAAAGGACGTTTTTCCCCGTTTAGCGTCTTAAAACTATTTGTAAATATCATCATCCTCAGCCGCGGATCAATTATCCTCATTTTGCGTGGCCTGCATGGCGGATCGTATTTCAAGCCGATCGCGGAAGTTTTTTTTTGAAGCAAACCAGCTGATCCGCGATCCGCAGTATGATTGATATGAAACCTGTCAGGAGTCTAAGGGGAGAGGGTCGCAGCATGTCGTAGCAGCTAGTCACTAGTCAAGAGGAACAACTTTTGTCCTGGTTTTGTGCGTATATATATATATAAATTATGTATAAATTATGTATTATTATATGTACATTGTACGGAGTGAAACATCCCCAGTTCGATGAAAGTTTGGCTTCACCAAAGCGATGCCGCCACACCAGTGAATCCCAGGTCAAAAGCCCAATGAAACTCAGATTCGTGAGCTCTTGACCCTGCTGAAGAAAGCCTCCAGCGCGGAACTTGGCATGGGTGGAATCCTGACAGATCTTGAAAGTGGCAATTCAACACTTCTGCTTGCTGAAAGTGGTCGACAGGCCTGACTTGGTGGTTGCTTTAGAAAAGGCCATTGAAATTGAAGCGAGGACCCGATTTTTCCATGCGACATTGGATTGACTTTAAAGTGGATAGCTGTCTTTTCAATCCCCCAAAAACTGTCGATGGATGTCCAGTCAACATGGTGATTTGCCCCAGCTTTCCGAGATGGAAGCGACTCTGCAGCCACGGAAACGTCTGCCGTGCGGATCCCCACAGGGATGGGGTCTGCTGCGTTTATGGTTGTCCTTGCACCTTTAAACGCAATGTCAATCAGTCAGACTGTAGCATTAGTAACCTCTATAATATTCTACAATGAATTTGATCGAATCTGTATGACATGTCATAGCAAACACACACATACACAACACGTTCCTGGATGATTCAAAATGCGCATACATTTGTAATCATTAATAATCATTTATACTTTATCCATATACATAAAGACACATGCAGACACGTGAACTCCTCTTACAGTGACGGCATACATTGTTGGTACATTACACTAAAGCAGGGGTATTGGCAGCTTCCCAAAGCCAGAGCCTATTAAACATGATGCTAAATATACATATCATATTCACCTTGTCTTAAACAGCATCTTCACCACTATACACCTGTAGAAGTAATCCTTACCCGGTAATGATGCACCGTGGGGTGTTTCCACTGTCATCATAAGTCTATATAGTTTTTTTTTCCAAACAATACAGGGTACTGTTAGAGTATCCCAAAATCCAGTGGTTTATCAGGTGATCATTCGGATTGAGTAAGGTTATTATCAGATAGGATGTTATCATCATATAACACCTGTTTTTTTGTAAATAGTTATTTCTGTAAGGTTATCATAGGTTATCATCATGTTTCTCATTGATTTTTTCAACTTTGCAGGAGCTTTTTTTTCCCGACTCTGGACAATTTTGTTCCTGGAACCTGCAGGAGCCCACCACTCTGAAGGGCGCTTGAGGCGCGATGGAATGGCAGCCTGGCATTTTTGTTGGCCAAAAAGATGGAAACAGATGATGCACAAAGACTCTACAAAAGGAGGGTATCCCATCTTATTTGAACATTTTGGCGGCACAAGGAGGGTACCTGCGAGCTGCTCGGAGCAGCCATCACTTCGGTTTCCGCTAAGGCCTTTCCAACCCTTGGATCAACCCAAAACAGCACGGCAGGGCCAAGAATGGATGGCTCCTGTCAACGAACGGAGATCTGAACGCAACACGCGCCCGCTGACTCATATACCATGTTTGGAAATATTTGAGTACATATGAGTACATAGTACACCCCAAAACCTGTATATCAATATAGATGTATAATGATGTATATAGTTTGGGTTCAAACCTTTCAAACTTATATGTCAAATGAATCCATTTGATTCAGTGTCATGTGGATTCAACCACCCCAAGTGACTTCATGAGACCAGTGATGTGGGGGCGAATCCCCGGCCCGAGGCAATGCCAGCAATGACCGTGACAGATGGCGGGCCGAGGGGAGCAGACAGCAGCAAAGTCCTGGTAGTTCCAGACTTTCGCGGTGATAGTCATTGGCAATGAGACAAGATTCCTAAGATCAGGCAACAAAAACTGGGCTGCCACTGCGCCCTTCCTAGCCCACATGTAGCAGTATCCATTGTTGCCCCGGGGCACTCCGGCTGAGGGGGGTAGATATGGATGGCGTCGTATTTTAGTTTGGTGGATGACTTGAAAAAAACATGCCAAGATGCAAAATCTATGGGTTGAGAGGTCTTGCTAAGTAGGTTTTGACCCAGACTCATGTCACCTTGATCAGTGGGCAAACTGACAAGAGCTGAAACTAACCAGATTTTGTTGGGTTGAATGTGTGTTGCCATTTCAGATGCAAACTTCAACATTTCAAAACACACTCTTCGTTTCTTTTTTCAGAGATTGCAAACGCACTCTTCGACATTTTTTTTCGTTTTTTTCTCAGAAATTTTGGCTATCCAGTGGTTAGGAGTAAGCCGAGTAAGCCTAAAGAGCTATGGGTATCATTGGGTATCCATGTTTCCTATGAAATGAGGAGCCGAACTGAGAATTTCCCAACCACCCTGCCCTGTGGGCCGCCTCATCTCCCACCCCGGCCGTCTGCTTTCGTTGCCAGCGGTGGGGGACCGCTGGGAAAGCGCGCCTGGGGCGGCCCGAGGTGTGGCGATTCCCGTGGTGCCCATGGCCCAACCATGGTTTTTCAGGGAGAAGATCCAACGAGCAGACGTGAATAGATGAGATATGATATGATATGATTAGGATTAGATGATATGATATGATTAGATATGATTAGATATGATTATGATTACATAGTACATATTAGTACAGTCAAACAGTATCTTCGGATGTATAAATCAGGGTTTGAGTCCCGGCTTTCGTACCGTCAGATGGTTGATGTAACAGGTAGATCATTTTCAGCTGCAAGACAGAGATGAATTACTGAAAGGCAGAGGGGAGTACAAGCCACAAGTGGACGGAATGGAGAATCACGGCAAGCACTACAAACAGTTTAACACCGTGGGCAGCCAATAGTAATGGGGGCCCAGTCTTGGGAGATGAGCTGTGCCAAGTTTGGTAAGTGGGATGTGGTTGTTTCCGCTCAATTGAGGGGTATATCAGGGGAGACCGGATTTTTCCATGATTACTTGGTATTTTAAACACCCCCCACCCCCACCTTTGACTCACCCCAATGTCAAGACAGCCACGGACGGGGCCACGCTTTCGGCGCTGGAAAGTCCATCAAAACAGACTGGTTCCAGAGAACCACGGGTTGGTGGTTTCAAATGGAGGTATAGTATATTATAGTACTATCAGAATCTATGAGCAACGGAATACACATCTAAAATATACATATCTACAATATATATATAAAATAATATATATATATATATATCTATAATATATCTAATATAATATATATATATATATTAATACGTAACATACATAATATGATATATATATATATATAATAATGTATATATATATAATAATGAATGTATATATAATATAATATAGTATAATATAAATAATTCAATATAATATAATATAATACAATATAATATAATACAATACAATATAATATAATATAATATAATATGTATATATATAATATAATATATACAATATATACATCATATAATATATATGTATATATAATATACGTAATGTATGATATATATAATAATAACAATAATAGTAAATATGTATATATATAATATACATAATATAATTTATATAATATACATAATATAATCTATATAATATACATAATATAATCTATATAATATACATAATAATATATATATATACTCATATGACATACATACATACATACATACATGCATGCATGCATGCATGCATACATACATACATACATACAGACACACACACACATACATCCATGCATGCATACATACATACATACATACACACACATATATATATATATACATGTACACATATACATATGTATTATATATACACATACACATACATAGATGTGACATTAATATCAGGTACGGACTACCCAACAGCATTGATGGTGTGATGATAGTTTGAAGCCTCCAAACGAGGATGCCCTGTGCTCACCGACGAGATTCTCATATTTTTGTTGGTGAAGTCCCCATGTTTTGTTGGACACACAGACACACATCACCTCCGGGATGGCCAAACAAGATGTTTGAGGGTAAAAGATTCAGATGCCCATACATAACATCATACTTTGACATCCCCAATTAAATGGTTAAAATGGTTAAACATCCTGTTTCTTCACTCACACATTTGTATGTTTGATGGCCAAGTTTGGTATCTCGCTAGGTCCCCGCTTTTCGGAAAATCATCTTTTCTGCGGATGAAAAATCGTCATAAATCGTTTGGTTAACCATCCCCATTGATGTTTTTCAAGCCATCCCAAGGGGTTGGGTTTTTTCGGTGAAGCACTGGGGCCTTCCGTGTAGCCAGAAATTGCGAGATGCCAAGGGTCTAAAGCAGAACAACAGGCACCTCTTGGGCGATGGCAGGAACAGTATTGGCAAGATTGGTTTGTGCATGTTCCATTTTTGTTTGAGAAGGATCTGAGATGAAGCATTTCTATGAATTTCCAAAAGCATTCACCACTTGACAGTTATAATATATCAGTGTTTTTCTTTTTGCCGGGTACTCAATTCTTTCGGGAGGTCCGAAGTGATCTTTGGCATGCTCCCACTGTGTTTTAAGGCAGTACTGGAAGCTGGGACATCCCGACAGGCAGAGTTTCGAACTCCGTATGATGGTATAGCACGGTATCGCCGGATAATAATATACAATAATCACGGAAATGTCCAATATGTAGTAAAATCAGAATCACTTCTTGGGCCCAAAGAAGTAGCTTGTGGAGTTTTTGTGGGGCAGGAAGTGCGGTGACCTACATCATGAGTGCCATTGCAATTCGTTACGGGGTTGAGCAATCTCAGATCGGTGCAACCACGACTTGAGTAGAGTTCAACAGAAAGTCTGAAGCCAATGATCCTGCCAAAGAAGAACACATTGAAATTCATGTGAGTTATTTGGCCCAGGAGGCAGCTGACATTTAAATTTAGATCAGTTGGCCAAACTCGTCCACGTTTCACTCACCTCGCGCGTCGTCGCCACTCATCACGCGCGTCTCGCGTAACGTAACTTGACGCGCCGTGCCATCGCTCAGGTGAGCACAGGCCACCTGGGTTCGGTGCTGGAACCCAATCATATCCAATCATAAAGCTACCAGGTATACCATGAACAGGGATGATACTTACACATACTATCATGTACTTACAAAGTTCCTTACCACCTGATTTGGGTATGGTGCTAATGGTTGCTAATGGCGGTTTACCACATGAAACTTTTCTTGGAATCTATGAGATCTGCAGCTGTTACTGTTACTCCACCACTGCCGCAGCAGATCCGGCTGAAATTCATCTTTAACCCATACCTGGCAATCTCAAACTTCGGATCCAATTTGACAAAGGTGGTAAACTCAATTATCATTAAAAAGAAATCTACCATAAACTTTAGGATTGTGTATACAGTATACATGTTTATACCTGGTGATGCCTTGGGGTTGTTTTTTGTCCACCCTTCAGTATCGGTTCCAAGCAGAGGAGTTTGGCTATTCGGTGCCCGGCGCCTGGTCATGGAAGCCCAGCCATATGTGAGTCCCTTCACTTTATTTTTTTTAGATTCAGCCAGGTGCCTGGTTTTCCGGGTGCGGTCGCTAAATGCACGGTTTTACCATGACTCGAACAAAAGGGCTGGCCCTGGCAGCATGGATGTTTGATGATATTTGGTCAGCAGAGAGCGTGTTGTACATAGTTTGATCATGAACCGCTGATACCAGGGGCTAGAAACCCTAGTGAAGATACCATTTGCACATATTTGCACCTTCTACGGCTCAAGTTTCTTGCTATTCGCACTGTGTGATTGTGCAGGGTCACGACGGTCGAGGCCAGAGCCAGAAAGTTCATCCCAGGTTGAGCCTCAAAAGCACAGTGCCAACATGCTACAAAACTCGCAAGGAACACTGCACAAAGAAACGATTTTTACTGCACCAAGAAACGCTACGAAAAGAGCACTGTAGCCTTACCCTACCAGACTTTAGTATTTCACGTTGAAGAAACACGCAGAGGAAACTGGATGCTCAGAATGCTCAGCAGTCAAAAACCAAACGATGGATGGTCACTGATAGTCAGCTTATCTTTGATCAGTTGAAGCCTTGCGTCATGGCTTTAGCTTTGGCCGAAGAGGCGGGAGGGAAACCATGGGATTTTCCCTGGGATTTTTCTGCGGTGCGTGGAGCATGTGTCACTCAGGGAGTTTGAAGTTTTTTCAACCAACCAAACCATGGAGGATCCTGAGACCTTTATGCAACCTAGCATGTTGGAGACGACATGACAGAATTTAAATACTGGTAAAAAATATGTTTCCAGTACTCGATTCATTCATTTTTTTTGGTTATTCATTACAAGGGAATTATAGTAGGGAAACTGGATGATTTAGATGGTGTTACTCCCCCACAAACGGAAGACACCACGCGCTATACACTACTGTGCAAACCTCAAGAATTCAGGCAGAGCGCTCACCCCCGAGTTCGATTACTTAGATGAATGAATGTGGCGTTAGTTTAACGTGCCCGCTGTATCTCATCAAGGTTATTACATGTTATTACATATTCCCAATTTGACTAATCAGAATTTTTATTGGTCAGATTTCAATTTTGTTTGTAACATTTTATAACTATATGTATAATATGTAGATATATGATGATATATGTGTATCGGTGAACAACCTCTGGATACTGACCTATCCTCATAACCCTGCCGTCAGACGCCGATGCCGCAGGCTGGCTTAGAACCCCAACTGGCTTGCAAGTCAGGGCCCAAAGTGGGAGCGCACGGGAGGCCAAACTTATAAGATTCTATAAGGATGAGGATTAGGCCGGAATACCCAATTTTTGGATCCGCAAAGATTGAGATCTTTCGCTTCCAGGCATTTGCGTTT